TATGGTCTAGTAACCTGGTTATGCTTCCACTAGGGCTTTGGATTTCCCCTCACGGATACTGCTGCTCCACACCGTCGGCTGGCGTCAGCTCTGCTCATCACTCTGAACTCTGGGACAAATCTCCCGTTAGGATTCTACCAGTGGCGGCCGGCCCATAGGGGGCGCTGGGGCACCGCCCTCCCTGATAAGAAGAGAGAAACGTAAAATATATTTTTAGAAATTAACTCATAAATGTCAGTTTTACTCTCTAGAGTGTGTACCTATAAGCAAAACAAATTATATAAACTACATTTCCCTATCTACTGTCATTAATTTGTGGATTTCCACAGACAGACTCCTACCGTCTCTGTTCTGGGGGCTGTGATCAGACAGCCCCACATTTGCAGAGAATCTGTCAATCATGTACTATTGCTAGGTGAATTTAATGGCCAATCAGCGTCTCGGAACTTTATGGTCTTGGGGCTCTGAAAATACTGCGCTTTAACAGGCTTCTGAACCCAAGCGCAGGTGCAGACAGTTAGAGGGAAGATGGCGAATGTATCGAACGAGATGCAGCTTCCACCAAATTCGGTGAGATCCTTATTTATCTACCCGTTTGCCAGAAGAACATCCCTGTTGTAGGATATGAACATTTCATGTCATGGTTATTGTGACTGTGAGGAATCCACCTCGTCGCTTAAAACAACCTCTCTAACTTTGCGCGCCACACACACATTCCTGTTATACTGTGTTTGTGAGGACCAATACACTCGCGCTGAGCCAAGTAGCTCCATGAACTTAAAACACACAAGCTGTTCCTGGTTACCTGCTGGCGTATTGAGGGTGCACACTTAATATTTCAGTGGGGTTAGCCGTGTGTGTGTGTGTGTGTGTGTGTACGTGTTTATGCTATGGGGACTTGTCATCTTCAGTCTGGCTGCGTCTTTGCTGGGTTCAAACCCAGTTTGGTGTAATTGAATAAGTCAATGAATCTGTGTAAAAGAATTAAGTTGTAAAAATTATTTGTTTTTGTACATCAATTGTTTGTGGAGGTAATATATGGACAAAACTGATTTATGAGAAGAAATCAGAAATAAGAGAGCCTGTAGGGGCTTAAACTATTTAATGAGGGCTGTGGGAAGAAAAGCGGCAATTTTTGTTTTCTGTTTCTTTGTTACATTGCTGGTAACTGGAGGGAGGCTGAGGCCCAGAGTATCTTGTACATGTTTAGTTTCTTTTGCACCCTGTTTTGAGTTTTTGAGCACAATAAATCACCAACACCGGTAACCCGACTGAGCCTGGATTCTTGGAGGCCAAAGAACCCCGTCACAGTGACCCAAATCATTCCTGTTACTGTTATTATATAGTAAATTAAATCATTACTGTTAAATTGTATGTATTGTCCAAATGTTTATTTGAATTCTTATTCCGGATTAGTTGGAGACATACACTAGGCTATATCAGCCCCACCAAAAATATTTTTCACCAGCCGCCACTGGATTCTACTTCTTTCTCCGGGATCGAACTGAACTCAGAACCAGGTTAGAGACTTTAGCTCATAGTTGTGGCCAGACTTAGATTCTAAGTCACTAACCTGAGTTTCTCTTTCTATGGAGTATCCTGTGTATTCGCCCTGATCCTGATCTGTCTGCTTAAATATTGGGTCCACAGTTCCAAGTTTCTGACAGGTATAGCACATATGCATTGTGAGGACGGCTTTAAAATTAACATTAGTGACTGCATAGTAAATTATGTTTGTTTAGCTTTCAGTCTTTAATCTGAGCCGATAAACATAAAGAGTGAATCTTTATTAGCGCAATCAGAGGTTTCCTATGGCATAGCTTGGATATATGAATCATTATTAAGTAATTGATCTGTGCTGTATCTCTAAATTGGAACACTCATGTCACTAATATCTTTTAACTGCCACCTCTAATTTCTGGGCATCTTTAAACAATTAAAGAAATATGGTCTGTAAAAAAAATAAATAAAAAAAACTATTTATGCTGCAGTATCAGAAGTACAGAAGGGTGGTGCTGGTGAGTTATTAACTTTAAGCAGTGTATCTCTCTGTAGGGCAAAGAAAGACAAGGCAGATCCCCAACAGCGTCCTAAGTTGTCTGCTTTGTGTAACACAGTTCAGCAGCCATTCATTGTTTGAATGATTCATTGGTCAGGGCTAAGTGCCCAAACAACCAAAAAAAAAAAGCATTCCTCTCAAATCAGTCAAGCAGTGGAATGAAAAGAAGAGAAAACGAAGGAAGAAAAGAAAAGACACACACACACAATAAAAAATAAAAATGGAAGAGATATTGCTCAAGAACACTTTAAAGGTTACAAGGAGGTCTGGCTCCTTGGAAGTACATTATGAGGAAATGAGGGATGACTCAAGACAGAGCACTGTAAATTATGGACTATATTACAGGGCAGTGTTGATATGTAATCTAAATATGGAGATTATGTAATCGGCCTTTGCTTCAACTGCAAACTCTACTTGCTTCCTGTATTTACAATTATATTGTTATTTCTATTTTAAAATAAACTCTAATGTCACTATCAGCATACATCGCATAGCAACTTATGTCCAGCTATAAATATAGAGCTTAAAAGACTCTGTATGTTCAGCTAAGCTTGACCTGCTGAGACGAGTGTCACAATCAAAAGAGGCAGAATGCTCAGCAGCTTTCTGTTTGTATGGACTCTACTTGCAGTTATGAATATTAACAAACATGTGCTTGTGGGCTCCTAAATTTGCTACGTTGACAGAAGTTTTGCATGCAGGAATCTCCCTAAACCATGCTAACAATCCCACAGGAACACAGACAGATACAGTGGTAACGTCAGGGAGTTCTGCTGACAGAGAGCTTTATAAACAGCTTTTAGCTCATTCTAAGGGCTTGGTTTTTATAGGGTGCATATGCACCTAAGCCTTCCAGTTAGATGCCTCATTTACTTTAGTTCACTCTTGAGGGATCAAAGCCTTTTTAGTTATACCCAAGTAGAAACCTGAACGTTTGTTCTCTTTAAGCACACTTAAATCCTTGGAATAACCTCAGCCAGCAACACATCTTACATCAGTAGTGACTTGGGTAAGCCTTAATCTTTGTTTTCCCATCAATATTACACCTTGGCCCATATAAAACCAAAAAACTTGATCACTGGTAAAAAAAAAAAAAAAAAAAAAAAGCAAACAGCCAGAACCATTATGAACCAGATATATCAAATCAGAGAGCAGCTTTGGAGACATTAGCCGCCATTTAGACATGAACAAACACTGTTGCAATGCCTAATCCCCATTGACTGGAATTATTAAAAAAAGCAATAGATAATGTATTCAGGGTGTCAATGACATAACTTTTCCTTTTGCATCTGTTCCCTATGCCCTGGATAGTACACCACTTTCAGGTATTCATCCCAAAGTGTTTCCTTTTTTTTTAACATTTGGAAAATATGATAGTGCCTATTTTACTTGTTCTATTTTACTTGTTCTTTTGTACTTCCTATAGTAATTTTAAGAAATTACATTTTTGGAAATTTTTATATTTGTAGCTGTTTTTACTGTATGTTTTTAATGTGGACCCCAGGAAGACTAGCTGTTTGCCATGGCAACAGCTAATGGGGATCCTTAATAAAATTACAAAATTACAAATTACTCATACTTGGCTACTATCATTTATCACATGGGTCAGATATCAAAATACTGTTCTAGCGTCAAAGTATGCAAATAATTGGTGCTGCTCATTTTTTCCACTTCGATAAATAAAAACACGCATCCGTGCATATATTTTAAAGAACAAATGTAGCTAATGCAATGGTGTTTAAATTAGAGGTATGTTCTGCACATGTGCAGACAAATCAAGAAAAACAACCAGAGTAATTTTAGCTGCATCTGTTTTGACACTTATCTTTTGTCTTTTACTCTCTTTGGTACATCCTGAGGGTCATTTTACAGTTCAGCTTTTGTGAGGGCTGCTTACACACAGGCTGCAAACGACTTACAGAGCACTGGCTTGCAAGATTCAGCTTGCATGCTTCAAATATTGTGAAAGCCCTCTGACAAAAGCTCACATAAAAATCCCTCTGTGTGGTAGCTTTAAAAAAAAGGATTTTGTTCTTTAGAGCTCACTTTATCTTAACCCGCCTGCAGCATTTAAACAAATAAGGTCAGTATTGTGATGCTAATATAAAAGCTGTTTCCTTACATGTAGTATTAGCTCTAAATAACACACTGTACAGTCAACGAGAAAAACCTTTTAGAAGTGAAGTAAATCAAAGCTAAGTAAGCTCAGGTGTATCAACACAGTTCCAAAATGTTGTCTGGTCTCACTCTGTGCTTTTATAAGTGAATCAGTTCTCTGCTGCCCCCCAATTATTATCTGCTACCTGGAGAGGAAAGAGCTCACTTAAAAACTGCACACTTAAAATAAACTTGCCTAACATAGAAGTGACTAATGACTGCACTCCCTGCATGCTATGTTTTCTCAACAATCACTTTCTGCATAGGTAATGATCTGTCTCTCTGACCTCTGCAGCATGTTGACTAAAAACAGCAAGAATAAAGTAGGAAGGTTTGTTGTATTCCTTGAACAGGAATTAATCTAAACTTTAAACTCTAAATAACAACAATGACCATAGGTTCTAAAAAATAGAGAAATAAGAAGTGAAAAAAAACAAAAAGGAACTGAAAGTCATCCCTGTTTGAAATTGTTTAAATTGGGAAAAAAATATGTTTTGAATCATTAATTTTTTTTGTACTAGTTTCATTGCTTGTTTTCTGTTTTAATGTGTGTATTTGTTTACTTAATTTGGCTTATCTATCAGATGTAATGAATGTTTTCTTTCTTTTTTTATTAGTGTATTTAATAATAGTAAAAAAATGTAATCTAATTTTTAGTCTCTAACAATTTTTAGTGTAAAACCTCCCTCAAGGATTTAACAAATACATGACAAACCAGTACTTGCAACAAGGCAATATTAAAATGGAGTTTGAACAGAAATGAACAGGGGTGCAGTTGACTTACTGGGACTGGTGATGCCAGATACTTCCCTTTCTGTTCTTCTTACTCGAGCGCTGACTGATCGCACTGAAAAACAAAAACGACCAATTAATAAAATCAGATCAATTTGAAAAAAAATTGATATTCATATGGAATTTAAGAAAATATCTTCTCCAGTTTATTTAAGAGAATCACATGCACACAAGGTCCAGACATGCAAAAGATGATTCAGACACCCAACACAAATCGGTTTAAACATGCACAGAGAAATGTATTTAGTCAGTCAATGACTGTGAAAAGAGGTCTGTCATTTTCATCATAGATACACTGCAACTCAGAGACACGAAACAAAAACAAAAAAATCCAGGATGTGTAACTTTTAGCGGAAAATACAGTAAGTGTTTAGTCAATAACAAATGTTTGACTTAGTGGGTGGTAGTATAACCTTTGTTGGCAATGATTCATCCTCAGCCGGTTTGCACAAACTGTAGTTGGTATTTTGGCCCATTCCTCTATGCAAATCACATAAAAAGCAGTGGTTCAAACTAATTCGAAAGGACCCACCGACCCCTATGTTTTAGGTATTTCCCTGCCTCCACACACCTGACTTAGATAAATGGGTGACTGGCAGACCCCAATGCAGGACAGTGTTTCCAGAAGACCTAGTTTGAAAACCACCGATATACAGCAGTAATCCTTTTCGGGCTATTGCTGTGCAACACAGACTTTCAACTCCCTACAGTAATTGTCAATGTGCTTGAGGTCTAGAGACTGGCTAGGCCACTCAAAGACCTTAAAAGGCTTTTTATAGAGCCACCTATGTTGCAAAGAGCTGTGTTTGGGATCATTTTCAGGCTGGAAGACTGAGCAATGTTCTACTTTCAGTGTTCTCACTGATGGACATGGCTCTCCTTTAAACATGGATAGGCTGCCCTGTCCCCTTTGCAGAAAAATGCCCACACCATATACTGTGACTGGAAAAGCCCATGCATGATGTTTGAACCCACATGCATCTCAGTAGGTATGACGCTCTTTGAAATAAACTTAGTATTTGTCTTTCTCCAAACACAACAAGTTGAGTTTGTGCCGGAAACTTTTCTTTTGCACCTCCTCTCAGTGCAGTTCTAAATTTTTTTCTGGTCTCCTTCAACAGCCCTTTGGTCTTGAATAATGTTGAGCTTGGAGTCTGTGGACGTGTCTTTTATACAGATTAGCTTAGCAGGTGCAATTATTACAGGCAACCAGTGGCAAGCAGAAGAGCTTCTTAAAGTCACAGAACCAATCAGATATCTCCCTTGTTTCAGCCAAACATAAGAACGTACCACATGTGGTCAGTTATTAACTTTCAAGCCAGTCGCATGAATGCATTCAGAATGATCTATACATCTATATAATGGGTGCAGGCAGTTCCTTAGAGGTTAAGCTGCTGAAGCTGCAACAAGGCTACTGGCAATGACAGTGGAGCAGTTTGTCCTTTGTCAGGTGATGTCCGGAGATGTTTCCAGTTTGGTTAGTACCAACACCAATTCTAAGGGCCGCAGCTGAATGATGATCACTTCCAGCAGTTCCATCTGTCAAAGACTGAGGATTAGTACCTACTCTTCCACGTCAGGGGATGGACCACTTTAATAAATGAAAAAGATCTTTATCTTCTTCACCCTACATCACAACCAGATCCGGTCGCTGATTGATTAACTCAACATCATATTGACAGAAAGGTTTAGAATGTTGAACTCATTCATTCATAGCTTTGCATCGCTCTGTTTGCCCGATTCGCACCAACCGCTTTGATCAAAACACACCCTTTGCTTTGCCAACCATTAAGTTGCTTCTGATCGCACCATTACACAGAAATAACACGTATATCAATCCCTCCATTCACATTGTTCTCTGTGTGAATGTACCTCAATACACTTTGTAGGTATGTGTAAGAAAATTCTAGATTAAAGTGTGTATGATGTTTGGTTGTCTTTGTACAGGTGAATAGTTGTGTTTTTATGACTATATGCAAGTATGTAAAAGCAATAGTAAATTTGGTCATATGGGGCCTTTTATAAACATATTTGTGAATATCGAGACTGTTAGCTTCATATCAGGATAGCTTGAGTCTTTTGCAAAAATTATGAAATGTTATTTCATGCAAATCCATGTTAGCCTTAAAGCAATATTTTCAGAGTTATTGTCATATTGGACAAAGGGGGAAAAGGCAGAGCAAACTTGGAATGTACAGCTCATGCTATGTTGACACATTTACAATTTTCTTAAAATAATATTGAACTTCGTTATTAGATAAAATATCTAAAATGGCAGCACAAGGCTGAATGTGTCTCTAATTCAACGGAGATAAAGCATTGTAAACTGACAGACCAGGATAGCTGGTTCCTTTAAGAGTAGATGATTTAAGAGTCATGCAAACTCCCCTCCTCCTGACTCTTACTTTACTGTAATATGCATTTTCATTGTTTCTGTGAGTGTCTTCTAGTATTTAAATCTGGTAAATCTCGGATTGTGTTTGCATTTACTTAAAAGACATCTACAATCTATATTAATTCAATATATTAAATGACTTATGGAGCCAATGTCATGATGGGTTATGGAATCTAGCCCATATGCAGAACAACTCGGAGGCAGAGAAAAAGTTCAAAGGTTTATTTACAAAGATGTATATTAATGAGGACAGGACCAAGGCGGGGAGACTGGTCAGGAATTGGTTCACCGCTGATCTGGAGAGGAGCAGAGCTGCAGAGAGGGGGGAACCTTGTGGGTCCAGAGGCAGTTGACAGGCCGAGGGCTGAGGGCTAGCAGAGCTGAGTGCAGTCAGGAGGAGAACAGAGAACTTGGCAGAGGCGGTCTGAGTGCCGGCAGGCAGGTTCCAGGTTGAGAGCAGAGTGCAGACAGGAGGAGGGCTGAGAGCTGGGCAGAGGCAGCCTGAGTGCTGGCGGGCAGGTTCCAGGTTGGGAACACATTGCAGGCAGGAGGAGAGCTGAGAGCTAGGCTGAGGCAGCCTGAGTGCAGGCAGGCAGGTTCCAGGTTGGGAACACATTGCAGGCAGGAGGAGAGCTGAGAGCTAGGCTGAGGCAGTCTGAGTGCTGGCGGGCAGGTTCCAGGTTGGGAACACATTGCAGGCAGGAGGAGAGCTGAGAGCTAGGCTGAGGCAGCCTGAGTGCAGGCAGGCAGGTTCCAGGTTGGGAACACATTGCAGGCAGGAGGAGAGCTGAGAGCTAGGCTGAGGCAGTCTGAGTGCTGGCGGGCAGGTTCCAGGTTGGGAACACATTGCAGGCAGGAGGAGAGCTGAGAGCTAGGCTGAGGCAGTCTGAGTGCTGGCGGGCAGGTTCCAGGTTGGGAACACAGTGCAGGCAGGAGGAGAGCTGAGAGCTGGGCAGAGGCAGTCTGAGTGCAGGTTGGCTGATTCCTGATGAGCTCTCTCTCTCTCTCTACTGAGAGCTGGGTTGAGACGGTCAGGGTGCAGGCTGGCAGACTCCTGGTTTGGTTCTCTCTCTCTCTCTCTTGAGAGCTGGGGTGAGACGGTCAGAGTGCAGGGCCTTCTGTGTGCTTGCAGGCAGATCACAGACAGAGTCTCTCTCCTAATTTTCCTCTGAGGGCGGGCAGGCAGAGGCTGACAGAGGAAGCCCTCCAGAGTTCAACAGAGAGCAGGTAGACAGATCACCGGCAGAGAAACTCTCCAGAGTTTCAGGTTAACAGGTAGGTTAAACCGTAACTGGCAAACACTCTGGCGTTGGAGTGTTAGTCTCCTCCTCCTTAAGTAGGCCCAAGGCTGATGAGGAGATGAAAGACAGGTGTTGCAGGTGAGCACAAGCCCTCAGGAAGGGATCCTTGGCGCCCTCTGGTGGGCAGGCCTCTGGATCCCAACAGACAGCAGAAACCCTCTGGAAGGGATCCTCGGCGCCCTCCGGTGGGCAAACCTCCGGATCCCAATGGACCCCAATACTCTATGGTAACTAGACCAGCACTGCTTTTTGCCTTAGTAACTTGAACAAAACCCATTAAAAACTGGTGAGCAACAGCGGATAACTGTAATCTATGAATTGTGAAAAAGGCTGATAGCTAATTAGATGATCTATAAATACAGTGAAAATACAGTTCACACCTCCACTGTGTGACTAACAATATTAATTTGTTTAGAAAAAAAAGGAACAACCCTTAGACAGTTTTGCTAAACACCATGTATGTCGTATTATAAAAGGTACCTGTTTATGCAGAGAACTGAACAGAAGCATTAAATTGTCCTTGGCGTGTTTTATTTATATAGAGCATGCTGAAACAGATTTATTACGTGACTAAAATTCTCCCCACTGTAAGAGTGAATGTATTTGATGCTTACACAAGAGATCCCACAGATCTATGACAATGTTTTACTCTGATGTTCCAAGAACAGAAGATGGCCTGTTGACAAGATGCTGCAGGTCGACCACAGTAAGCTGCAACTCTTCTCTGCTGCTTCCTGTCCTCTCTACACTGACGGAAGCTAAGATGAACTAACTTCATCTAACACCTGATGAGTCAGAAGTTCCCATCCTGTTTTGAGCTTCTTAGAAATTCTTCTTGATCAACAAGTCAACAGGGGACATTCAGTGCCTGCTCATCCGACCAGCAAACCCAGCAGTTTCCATCAGTTTTATATAAACTACAGATGTTTTCTCTGAGACAGGAGAGTTTAATGTATCACCATATACTGTGACTGGAAGATTTAAGTAAAGCAACTTCTTTGTGAGGACGGTAATTCTCACAAGAAGTGTACAAATGAAAAAAGACTAAGTGTTCAGTATGTGCACTCTATGCACGTCCCTGAATCTCTGTCTTAACTGCTATCAAAGGAATAAATTTCATGGTTGCATTTAATGGCAAAATAATGAGTCTGAGCTTCATTTATACTCCAGAGTTGAATTTTAAAGTTGCAAGTGGGAAAAAGTAAAAAAAAAAATAACTTTTTTATTTGTGCTTTGTCTCAAGACTTTAAAATACAACATGGCTGCCATGTGCAAAGATCATATCAATCCCTGCACTAATAAGATGTGTATTTGCTAATCTTACAGTTTCTATCATAGTTTTTTTTCTTTTAACATTCT